CTTCATGCAAATAAGTCTTTTCATGGCTTTCAGGTTGTCTTTAAATGTGCAACCTGTAGCATGCAGCAGCAGTGGATAGCTTTATCACCACTAGCTTAGCTGCTGCTGCTAATAAAACAGTCTTAACCTTGAAGTAGTAGAAATGGTATTTCAGTGGTCCGTTCATTTTCTAACACACATCAATAAATAGCTGCATCGCTGTACACAACATTGCTGTTTCTGACAGTCCTGGTAGTTCGTAGTGAGTTAAGCCTTTTGTTTTTTTTTATCTTTTGTTCGCCCATTTGATACTACAAGGCTACAGGCTACAAAGTTTCTATTTCTGCTACAATATATTCCAGAGGGAAATGTTGTCCTTTTCAGCCCGCTACATTTATTATAATGGTACTTTGCATATGAAGATTTAATGAGTACATCTATACAAAATACAATGCATTGCTATACAGAAAATGAAACCACCCAGGAGTATTAAAAAATGAATACAATTTGCTCTACTGCAGCCAGCTACAATGTAAAATGCATTTTACATGTTACTACATCAATAATACACCCTAACCTGATAATGTTACAACCACAGAGCCCACTTTGGCTGCATTTGAGTAGGCTACTTTATCATTTGCTTGATGATACATACTTCTACTTTCCATTTAGAACGCAGGAGTGTTTTTACAGCTACTATTACTTAAGTAAAAGATGTTGCTATCTCTCACCCCTGATAATTGATCAGCAACAAGCTGTCTGCCACATGGTTATCACAAAATAATAGTTTTTTGTGGCATTTGCAGTATGAGGCTTTCAATGTCAAGTGTGTAACATTAAGGAGGATTGGTAGAAATGAAATGTAATCTATATATATTACATATAGGCTATTCATATGTTTTCATCTGTGTATAATCACCTGAATATAGAAATTGTTGTGTTTGTTACCTTAGAATGAGCCGTTTTTATCCACATGTGCTCTGGGTCACCTTCCATGGAGTCTACCATGTTGAACCGCATGTTTCTGGTATAGTAGCCCACAAGGGACAAACTAAACACTGGCTGTAGACAGGGCCTTTAGTGTTTTTCACCATAGATTCTCACGTCACAGCCTGTTCCTATTCCCAGCAGTGTTCAGTTAGTTACAATGTGAAACTCCGCCTCTAGATGCCACTAAATCATACACACTGGTCCTTTAACAGTGGTGCTTTCATCAGTGAAGTGAGTTTGAAAGTTACTGATTCTGTTAGTGACATTGCTGATTTAGTCCACTGAGTTCAGCTTGGGAATTTGATATAAATCAGTTTTTACATATATAAAACACCTCTTTGGCACATGCTTTGTAAATCCAACCACATTGCTTGTCAGGAGGGATAAGAAGGTTGTTTTGAGTGTCCAAATAAATGACAATGCTCAAGATAAGCCCATTTTAAAACTCTTTATTTTCTCTCTTTGAAGTTGGCATATCTAAGTCATGCATGTGTTTTTATTTTTATTTTATTCATTTATTTTCTCCATCAAGGTATTAAGCATAAAACCAGTAAGGATATTCTGATGCAAATGAAAAGGCTTTGAATCATCTACAAGGCTTGATAATCCTCAACAAAATCAGAAAAGGGCTCTTTAACTCTGTCATGTGCCTCAGAGACAATTTGTGGGAAGTCAGAAGTGCTGCTCAGCCAGTGTTCATTTAAAAACTCCTGACGATGTGTTTCCCCCTGCCAACGCTCTCCCCGATAGTTTAATATCACTTACAGTTGTTTATTTATGACCCGCATCCCCGTCTGTGTTCTTAGCTTAATTACTTCAGGGTTATGTGTAATCACTGATGGAGGGGCTGGAGACAGAGGAGAGAGATGAAGTGAGAGAAAATGAAGGTGAGAAAAATATTGTGAGGGAGAAGGAAACGGTGGGGAGAGACACAAAAAGGGGCATGGGGTTGAAAAGACAATTAGATTTTCACTACAAGAAGAAAAAGAAGACAGAATGGGAGAGGAAAATGAAAAGATATTACAGGGCTCTTTAAGTGTAGTATAATCACATGGTGAGTGGATGATGATCAGTATAATCACAGAATCACAATCAACTTAAAAATACTGCTGGGGTTGAGGCTCTACAGCTGCTGGAATAACATGACACTAAATTAAATGTAATTTTCTCATGTTTGATTGTATTTTTTTTCCTGATGATTATATTGTGCAAAATGTTTATCTCCTTCAGACAGCCCTGTTATTTGCTGGTAATAATTAATCATAATAAACTTCAAATGTCTCCCATTTGAAATGTCTACAGCATGTGTCATCCAAAGAGAAACTTAAAGTAACATGGCTTGTTTTATTTATTTTTTCTTATCCTGAGAATAATATCTGCTTCACTTTCTTCACAAGCTATTCACTAACTTTGTCTTCACTGGGGTTTTTGCTGAAAACAGCTGCCTGCTGCTGCTGGAAATGAGGTTAATGAGAGCGCTGAGAGTGAACCTTACAGGAAATGTGCCGTACAATAAAAAAGAAAATGCTGAAATGCTTTGTAGAGCTGAGGGAACTGCAGAGTTGGGTTTCAATTCTTTGTAGGTTTATACAGACAGAACCCCTCTGACACCACATAGTCATTCAAATCATTAATATAAAAATAGTGGTCGTCATGCATGACGACCTATGATTCTCATATTCAAGTAATTACACACTAATGAAAACATAGCTATGAATATTATATTCCATTTTGCCAATGGAGCCTCCTAAATGTTACACAGTGGACCTTTAAAGGACCAGTGTTTAGGATTTTGTGGCATCTAGAGGGAAGTTGCAGATTGCCATCAACTGAATACCGCTCACCTTCCAAGGGTGTAGAGAAACTACAGTGGTCACAAAAACCACGAAAGGCCATTTTGCAGAGCCAGTTTTTGATTTGTCCGTTCTGGGCTGTTGTAAAAACATGGTGGTTCAACATGGTGGACTCCATAGAAGAGGACCCACTCCCTCTGTAGATAAAAACAGCTCATTCTAAGGTAACAAGAACATAAAGATTATTATTTTCAGGTGATTATACACTAATGAATAATATATTCCATTTCTGCCAACAGTTCCTCCAAAACTGTTGGATCTTTGAAAGAGCAATCTCTTTAAAGATCCAGGCCGGTCACTTCAGAGTCAAATACATGATCAACTTGAAAATATGGAAGACTTCCTGGAATCTTTCAAAACCTTATTCTTTTGCAATTATGCCTTCAGTATGGTGGTCATATGACCAAGAAGAAGTGGACAAAGTATGATTTTATGATTTGGTTTTATGTTACTAAACTTTACTGTACTTTGTAGCAGAGCACAAGTAGTAGAGATTTTGGACATACTGCTTAAGGAAGTATGTTGTTGTTGTTCATTTTTTATCACTTTTGATAAATTATTATCAAGCAAAAATGCCATAGGTCTGGTTCCGTCTTTTCAAAATGTGAGGATTTGCCGCTTTTTATTGTTGGAAATTGAATATATATGGCGTTTGCAACGAAACAAGCATTTGAGCTTCAGCTTTCGGAAAGAGTGACTGGCGGTTTGCTCGCATTCAGTGGATGTAGCCCTTTTTCATTTTCACCGCTGATCCTGAAAGAGTCTGTGCGTACTGACAGCCGCCTTACAGAGAAAGACAGACAATATTTTGAGTTTCCCATGCGGCCAGTGATACCTGCTGTAATTTATACTGGTTTCACTGGTGTCTACAACAGTACAGATGTCTGTGTACCTCTGCTGCTGAAACAGCTCGGACTTCCAGTCTCCAGCAATAAGCCAGCGCTGCTTCATCCCGCCAAAGCAATAAGCTAAACACGTCTCCCCTCGGAGCCTCATGCCTTAAAACCAATAAACCGAGAGCAAAGCATAATGAAATGGGCGATTCAGGGAGAGCATAAGCCCGAGTCCACAATCAATAAAGAGGAGAGGCGCTTTTTTTCCTGACTTAAGTATTTACAGTTGGGAACTCTAAACTTTGGAAGGGTCTGCCTGGGGAAAAAACGATTGGCAAGAAGTGCCCCTTCTTTTATTTGCATTTAAAGTGGTAATATCAGTTCCGTGTGTTATTTTTTATTTTGTCTCCATCTTTGCTGCGATGGGTCATTGCTGTATCTGCACCGAGATCCCCAGGGATCATTTGTCAGTCAAACACTTTGGCTACTCCTCATGTCTATTTTCTTTTGGATTTCATGCTGATGCAGTTTCTGGTTGAGTCATTTCAGGTTTATTTTCACAGCACTCTGCTAGAGCGTCTCAAAGGATATAGGCCTAGAAGTCATACCTTCATAGGATCTAGAGCAAAAAGATACAGTGTAATCACACAAGAGAAAGAGTGGAAAGTAAACTGTACTGTAAGGTTAAAATTAAGAAATGTGATAAATACATGTGAGTTGCGGAAGATGATGTTATTCTATATTGTCTATTTTCAAATTTTAATTTTTTTTAAAAAGGCTTCCCAAAACAGCTGGCCATTGTAGTTTTTAGTAACCATTATTCCAACAGTGGGAGAAGCATGGGGACTATTTTCAGTGGCGGATTGATCCACATTTGGTAATCTAGTATTTGGGGCAGCAGGATGGTACTGCTATACTGGTTAGTAGGAAACGTTCATTGATATCAGGAAAGAAAAATATGAAATATCATCAGAAAAATACATCTAATTGTTGCACATTTATTCAATAACAGTTTTAGAGGTTTGTAGTTAATTTATCTACATATCGTGCTGCTTGCATGACAACTACTTTACTTCTTTTAAGACAGAGGTATTGTACTTTTTACTTCACTAGATTTATCTGACAGCTAGAGTAAGCATATTCTGCACACAAAACGTAGGATCAACTAAATTGTTATAGAGCTCAAGAATTTTGAACTTTGAATGCTTGTTGTATTTGTACATTGTGGTATTGCTACTTTTACCAAAGTAAAGGATATGCATTCTTCTTCCATAGTGATCTCACAAATGAGATGAACAAAACATCTTGGCAGGTTATGTTTTCAGCTCAATATTTCTTTATTACCCACACAAATGTTCAGTGAATCATAGCGCAGAAATATAAGCTAAAACACACAATGTTACACCCAAATAAAAAATAATGAGGCAGAGAGATAAAGCTTCTAGGTGGGGTGACATTTGAATCCACCGCTATGTAAAATCATTGTATCCAGTTGTCTTTAAGAGAGCAAACACACACAGACGCACAGCTGAACTGAGCACCTCAGACAGACATTCAAGACAAGACATTCAGCCACACAAATACCCATACAGACAGCAAACAGTGAGAGTGTAATGATGCTGAAAGATCAAGAGGCATATGTAGTCGCAACAGCAGACTTCAGACTAAAGTAAAAGAAAAAACAATTTAAAAACAAGCTGATAGTGCTGATGCAAACCTTCTAATGGTCACTAGATACTGGCTTTGGTTTTTGTGTCCCTGTTCTAGCCTCAGTGTCTACAAGACTAGGCTGTGTCATGTTCAGGTGCAGCTGCTGAGGAACATCTGCTGACATCGCCCTTCTACTCAGTGTGCCAATTACCAATGGATGCATGAATGGAGCGCCCCTTCTCTCTGCTTTATGAGCTGGGTCTATTTTAGCTTGCCAACCTCTCAACTGTGAAACTTTGATTCAGATGGGAATGTATATAAATGTCTGTATTTATTAACAATTAACATGAAAGTTGTATTTAACAATGTATTTGTTATTGATGTTTTTCTTGTTTAAATGCTACAGCTGTAAAGATAGACCATGCAATGCTATGTACAGCAACTAAATTAACTGCAAATGTATTCTTTAGGCTCATGAAACATACACAATAAATGCCACAGAGCTTTACCGGAAATCTGCCAGCTGGAAAACAGACTCTTCCACATCTGGACATTGGTACGGCCACAGTGGTGTGACGAAGCAAAGGTGCAACTGCAACCGGACATATTATCTTCTACTGTGGAGAGTCAAATATTTGAAGAATTTCTGAATAAAGTCCAAATGACAGCGTGCAGACTAAAGTAATGCATTTGTAATGTAGAGTCATTTTTAACATCATGACTCTGGTAAACATGACGGACTGATTCTGATCCAGTTGATGTTTTTATCTGAATTCATCTCTAATTTATTCTTCGGGATGAGAGCTGATGTAGCTCGTAAAGTAACAAAGAGGCTGTGAATCTGTATCTTTGCATTTTTCTTGTACAACAAATATATTAGACTGCATTACATTACATTACAGTACAACTCATACAAACAAGAAACCTTCATTCTTAAAGTACGCTAACACAAATGTAGATTTTATTTTTTATTAACTGTATGTCAATCAGAATCATAGCTACTGTATCTTGTGTTTCTCAACATACTGTTCACCTCAGCATGTCACGTTAAGTGACACTATTCAGTGTATTTCACACTGTAATCGTATCCCATTAGGACACTTCACACTCATTGGCAAAGACTGTTAGATGTCTCCCCAAATTGAAATGAAAATGATGCCCTTGCTGACTTTCTACACCTTCACGCTGCCTCATCCATCACATTTATTCTGAATGAACAGTTAAGGTAGCTGCTCTGTAGAATAGATGACTTTAAGTAACAATGTGTGAGTCCGTGTGCATATTTTTGCATGTGCACTTGTGTCTTTGTGCATGTAAATTTCAGTATGTGTTTCCATATGCACGCATACTGCATTTGTATGAATATGCTGTATACAGACTTGCAGGCACGTATCTTAAAATGTGTGTGCTCTGTTTCTGCTGCTGCACTGTAACCACTGGGGGAGGGAGACAGACAGAAAGACGATGGAGAGAGAGAGACGGAGGAGGAAGGAGAAGCAGAGGTGCGATGAGAGACAGAGCCAAATAGAGAAGGAAAAAGACGACGAGAGTCAGATCGAGCGAGAGGGAGAAAAGACCTCAGGGAGGGAGAGGGATGGGATGACATCACAGCCGATCGGTGAGGTAATGTCTGTGACACAGAAATTGAACAGATAGAAGAGATTTCAGATCGATTAGAGCTTCTGATACCGCAGCTCATAACTGCTCAAAGGAGATCTGAAAACGAGAAAATACTTGTACAAACACCCACTGCTGCTCACTATAGTAATGAGCCAGCCAGCAGTTCGGTGTAGTAAGCCTACTGTACTTTTCATTATTAACCCTCATGGGTAAAGGACCAGAATCAATGAATCGATGCTGATTCAACATCCTGGCTAGGCTTTGTTTTGTAATCTCTGAGTGCTTCATATTCATCTTATTAATGCCGACCTGGATTACGATGATGCTAAAGTTGGTGGTGGCATGTGCCTGGGTTCCCTGATTCTCCCCCTGTCAACACCGTCAGATTAGCCTCAATGTTGGAAACTCTGCAGTAAACAGTGGCTGGTGATGCTGATCAAATGTAGCTGATAATTGAGTCTCCATGACTAACGCTGTGCATTGTTAAACCCTGTTGGCGAATGTGGAAGAAGCGCGCAGGCCAACAGAACTACCAACAGGGCTGAGCAGAAGGGGGGACTGAAGACCAGGCTCTGGGCCAACAAGGCTATGCTAGTGTTATCACTAACAGGCTCGCTGTCAAGCTGACCGGTTCCAACTCCAAGAGACACCCTATCTTTAAAAGTTACAGTTAGAACAAACTATCGTAGCACACTTACAGCAGCAACACAAGCTACTGACTGCTACTACTAACCCTTACGCTCAATTTGAAAATAAAAAAGTTAGCAGTCCAATATAATATGGACAGAGAGAGAAACGGAGTAGAAGTAGAAGAGTGAAGATTAAGGAGAATGAAGAGATCAAAACAGAAAACCAAAGAGGGAGAAATCACACAGAAATCATGATTCGCATCACAGGAATCGTGGGTGACGTGGTTTCTGAGGTCTCCGACACTTCAGCTGCTGATCACTGAAGTCCTCTGTTGCTGTTCAGTTCATCATTTCCATCCCGAAAACAGAAAAGCTTCTAAGGGGTAGTTTTATGAGGGAGGGTAAGAAAGACAACATTATTATTGTCTAAATTAATTCAATACAGTTTTATTTATTTATTTCTCTAACCTAACCTAAATACACCGGTTAGGATGAACAGTTGGGCTTGTGCTGTGAGATAGCACCGGTGCTCCTGTGCTTTAAAATCAGGATGAGTGGAGGAATGCCTAATTTGAATTATCAAAGGCAGAAAATGATACCAAAGAGAACACTGTATATCAAAAAGATGCATAACCAGCATGTATTAACCAAAGAGAATGTAACACCCTAGCATACTAAGTTACAATGGCATAAATTACAGAAACACATTTGGCATTACAATTTTCATCAGCTGAAAGGATTTTCTTACTTTTTCTTTTTATAAAAGTGAATACATCTGGCTGGCAGCAGAGGTAACCACACTTCAAGTGGCAGCCATCCAGATTTGTTTCATGAAAAGGAAATTAGCATCACTTTCCAAATCAAATGACTATTGTATGTTTTAATAGTGCCTGTGATTGATTTGTGAATTACCTCTCCGCTGTCTTCTTGATCTGCTGAAGTAGCACCATGTAAACACAACCCTGAGTTCAACATCAGTCCAACCAGTCCTCCTCTGCTATCCACATTTGCAAACCCCTTTTTGTCTGTCCAGAAATAAACTATGTGATTTACCACAGATCTTTACACCCTGAAAAGTCTCGTTAGCAGCACTCACAGTGTTACAGAGGCTGTGTTCACACCTAGCACTCGTCTAAAGGGACAATGATGTCATTTGAACTCAGGTGATACCAACACAACTAAAAGTGTGTCTCAGTCCTTTTATAGGACAACTGTGGTGTCCCTTGTTACAAGTGAATGTAGACAAAACAACTCCAAAACAGAGGGGGTTATGGTTTTTTTATATGATTTGGACATGGTATTATACCACTCCTCCCCAGCAGGAACTGTCTTGTCTATTCTTTTTACTTCTGTGTTCAGACTTACAGTGTTGGCTGGATGAGACAGATGCTCTGCTGCTGTCATCTGCTGGTCATAGCTTGTAATTACACCACAAAGAACTATTAGCAGAGGGGGTGGCATTGATAAAAATGCATCAATTTGGTTTTAAATACATTCACTTTTGCCATGAGATTTTTTTAATGTACTCAGAGGCGTGGATACACTAAATGTATGTGTGACCCGCTTCAGCTGTGCTCACAGTCGCTGGTTAACATGGACGCTGAGCTGCTCCGCAAGGCTAAACATAATTTAGGGGCCATAAGGAGGTCCAAGCTTGTTGTCACAAGCACCACTGTGAATTATTACATAAATATGCAGTCAGTATTCATTGCAGTGTTTGCCTGTGTTTTAGTTTGTTTGTTTAGAGACTCCAGCTGCATTTGATTTATGAGTAACTGAGTCCCAAAGCTTTATAAAGAGTATGTTTTATATTATGATTAATATAAAAGGAAGGGTGTTTTTGTTTATTGTTTGTTGTATGATTAATGGAAATCAAGGGATTTTTTTTCCGCTGACAGGGAGAGCCTCTTTTTCTTTTAAAGTTTTATTTCATTTTATTTCATTCATTTTGTGGAAGGCAACACCTCATACCTAATATCTGCCCATTTGGGCGTAAAACGTAGCCTATAGGTTTTAACCCTATTTGCAAAGACTTTGTAAACATGACATAAATCAAGGTTGATTTAAGTAAAGCTTGTTTTAAACCACTGGATTAAAAGATCTCTCTCTCTCTCTCTCTCTCTCTCTCTCTCTCTCTCTCTCTCTCTCCTCAAGGTCAAGCTGGAGGTTAGCCCGAAAACACACACACACACACATACACACACATACAGTACCAATGCTTTCCACTCACTGCAGCATTCAGTCACTCTACCAAAGGGCAGTGCTGTTGTAGGTGAGGTGGGTTTTTTTTAAAGCATGTTTTTATGCTACAGTATACAAATGTTGTCAGTAAATCACACAGCCTGCTTATATAAAATTATATATAAAATGTATATGTCACATGACCATCTGTGCATATAAATGGCTCTCTGTCTACTTGGACAGACAAAGTATGTCTTTGCAGTCACACAATAATCTAATAAACAGTCTGTGACACAACACAAAAAACAGCTTCACACTTTGCAAACATGAAGACATGAAGTCTTATCATGCTCCTGAGCTTTCACCAAACAAAAATGAACTAGGAAAGAGGCTAATGAGCTACACAGAACAGGATGCTAAGAGGTGCAGTGCTAATTCTTCAATACCACTATTAACAAAACAACACCTGTCCTTGTCTTGTAACAGACAGACAGTCTCAAGTGCAACACACACCAGCTACATTGCAGTGCATTGCGTCATTTAGCATGCATTAATTGACGCTGTTGCACGCACACACACACACACACACACACACACACACACACACACACACACACACACACACACACACACACATAGGATGCAAAATAGGCAGAAAAATAGTAATAAAAATATTCAGAAGAAGTCAGAATGCACCAATCCGAGGAGTGCTTGTGTTCATTTTACCGCTTTGGTGGAGCACTGATGCACATCGGCCTCGGGAACTAGGACAGTGCTGTATCATGATGTGTTGTAGCACATTCAGGCTGCTGGTGTGTTGAGGTGCGTCATTCGCTGCCAGTGTTTGTTGCCCTGAAGCATTTGTCCCTTGACCTTTCACTTTGTTTCACACTCTGCTAAAGGAAGAAATGTGATGCAGCAAAAGAGGGAAATGTGTGAGATTAACATGTGTTCACATCGTTTTTCTTTGTGTGTGGAGGAAAGTAAAGCACCTGTTCTACAGCGCCAGGGGCTTTCCCTCTAACAGGATGTTTGGAGCTGAGAACAGGAGGTCTGAAATCTCTCTCTACATCTTTCCTCTCACCACCATTTTCTCCATTTCCTTCTCCTCTCTCTTTATTGTGCTCACCCTCTTACTCCCCCGTCACAGCTACCATGTCAACAATATCTGACCTCTAACACTTTGACAGAACAATCCCAGCATTGTTTTCACATTTCAGCTTAGACAAGCAGGGCCCCAGTGTGTGTCTTTACCTGAACCTCTGTTCAGTTTCTCTCTTGATGGGATTTGTTGTTGTTGTTTTTTTTCTTTATTTAGCTGTTTTGAAGCCTTCTGAGATTGTAGCCGTCACTAAAGGTTTGATATATAAATAAACTTCAGCCTCGGTGTTGTCAGAGTTCATTCTGTCCATCCAGCTGCAGATGACTCAAACACAGTCATCACGCTCTGTTTGGTTTGGATGAAAACTAAAGAACTGCTCACTGTCATTATTGGGTTGTCACACTGGAAGCTGCTGCGTGTGTGTGTGTGTGTGTGTGTGTGTGTGTCTGTTTGTGAGAAAGAGAGAGAGTTTGCACAATTCTTTATCAAGAAATCATATGAACAATTTGTCATGTTCAGGGACTATTTCAGAGAAGTCATTTTTACTATGATTAAGAAGCAGTGATGTTGAAACATTGATCTGTTTGCTCTAAACGCTGCAAATCAAACAGTGTGCTCAAGTTCTTGTTCTGAGAAGCACCTGATTTAGCTGCATATTGCTAGAAGATGCACAGAGAATCTCCTTTCACATAAAGCCACTGGAAATAAGGAGATCAATTCTGAACTTCTTGATCAGTGGTACTGTTTTTTTGTATTCTTAGCAGTGTTGTTCTAGAGATGGCAGTGTGGTTTGTTGATCCGCCACAGCCTGAAATATCTCAACAACAATTTGGAGAACATTAGTGTCTCTACAAAATGTCATGGCAATCGAACAGAGGATGAAGAGGACGGTTACCTAATTTTTCCTCATCACTGGTCTGCATTCATGGCCGTCTTGGGGTGGATTGTAACAATACGGATGATCCATTCCAGCCATCATCAGGACAAACTTTTGATTTCTGTAAGAGTTTGTTTTGTGATCAAATATCTGCAAAACTAATGACATTCCCATCAGCCTCAGCTCACTTTACCCATAAACCCTTCTGTTTTAGGGCCTTTTCCTTCTAAAAAGATACACATGGTAGGCATTATACATGCTTAACAACAGCATGTTAGCATTGCCACTGTGGGGAAGTTAGCATTATACACCTCACAATACCTAGCTTGGATGTAGACTCTTAGTCTTCAGGACACCTGCAGAACTCAGCAATATCTGTCTACCATCTTAGCAGAGGTCGTTGGATTGTGAAAACAGCAGGGGCAAAGTCCAGGGCTTTATTGTTCTGTTTGTGCCAATTCTGATTATCTGTATTGTATTTTAGAACTGTATAGCTGTACAGTGATGAGTCCAGCTACAGTCTCACATAATGTACAGTTTTTACATAAGCTGCTGCCAAGTCTCCAGGTCACACTCTGTGGTCTGGTGGATCTCTTGGCTTTTGCAAAGTAGCAATAAAAACCTGGATCTTTCTAGAAGCTCTTATGGCTTCTAACCCAGGACTTCAGATGGGACCAAACCTGAGCAAAATACTAGTTGAAATAACTTTAAATACGTAGACTTAATTTCTCACTGCCTGCTGTCCAAACCAAACAGTCAAGCTGGACAGGAGGAGTGAAATGTGCCGAAGTCGGGACTGAAAACCTCTGACCCGGTGGAGATGATCTCCAAACTGAAGAAAGACTGTAGCTTCTTCACATTGCCATGCTGTCCTTTCTTTTTTTTATGTTGTTTCTTCGCTCTTTGATTCAAACATAAAGGTCAATTGCTTTATTTACTTTTACTTTGTGTAACTATCCAGACATTATGACATTTTCCTGTTTTATTTTTTCTTCATGGAAGAAGCAGCTGCTTGGACTTGAGTCACACATAATGACTTGTTAAGCACTCAAAACCATAGTTTATAATTTAGACCTTGACTTATGGGTCTAAAGAATTGAGAATAACTATAATGACTTATGTGAATCTGATGAGAATCAAATAAGACCTGTAGCTCAACTTTGACTTATATAAAAGTAACTTTGACTACACTTAGCCTCTTGACTTGGATAACTATACTCCTAAAACCCAAAGATTCAAAAAGTCTTTGTTTTCCTGATTGCTGTGATCAGTCCAACAGCAGCCAGTCCACAGGCCAGCAGACAGACAACAGATGACACCAAGGCACACCTTATGATTTTGCTTTTAAATTATATTAAATTTATTTGAAAGTAATAAACATACATTGACGCAAAGGAATATTTCTCTAAATGTGATATACTGTTAAACTTTAATTTAAGACTTGGATTTGACTTGGGACTTGACTCATAACTTCATAGACAAGACTCGGACATATTACGCAAACATTTCCAACAAATATCTGTTGGAAAATAAATCCATTTTATGGTTGACAATGCTTTGGTTAGGTTTAGACACAAAAAAGACTTTTGTAAATATTGTGGTTTGCTTTAAAATGACTACTTTTAGCGGATAATAGCTCCATGGTTATGGTCACAGTTTGAAGAAACCAACTTTGACTGTTGGTAGGTCTGTGTGGCAAAGTCTCATGTTTAGTTTGATGCAACTTTCCTGTAGATGTAGACTTTGTTACGTCGCCTGACATCGTCTTTTGCTCTCAATATCATTACAACCAATAGAGGGCTTTGTTACTTCAATGTTCACATATGAAGTTTTTTCAGTTATTTGCTGAAATGACAGAAGCTGACGTTTTTTCTTGCAAAATTTCAGGCCCATACAGTACTTAACAACATTATAATAAAAAGAAAAAACATTTTATCACTATCATTTTCTAAGAGTTCTATTCACACGGACGTTTAATTAGTAGAATTCTTTTAGTGGAGGCAGCTGCTCAGCTTTTATCATCACTGACAATCAATGAGTAATTGATAACAGGTGTGTCCCGGTGGCTCAGTGGGCTAAAAGGTTGTCTGGCTTGTATTTCCCATCTTATTTATTATTAGAAAATGACAAAGATCTTTTCTCATGATCTCTTCACATCTCCTGCACCGAAAAATTTCTTGAATCCAACTAAAAATAAGATGATAACTTGTTTTGGTCCAGTGTGACTTTGGCTCGACTCAGGTCTGTATCTGTCTGACGTGTAACAGCTGTATGTCTGTCCCTTTTCCTCTTCTGCTCCCTCTAGCTCTGCCTAGGTGTGCTGATCACTAAATGAGGGCGAATGAGGTGTTACTGCCTCTCAGTCTGGGATTTTATGTTACTTTGTGTCTTTTCTAGTCTTGATTTAGTCTTGATTTAATGTAAATTTTGTTAACGGTGTAGGTTTTATGTTAATAAATCCCATGGCTTTGGTTGTTTTAAAAGTGTCTTTCTGCAGTCGTTTTGGGTCAGCGGGGGAGTGTTGTTTCCCCCGTAGGGCCACCTAAGGCTGGGTGCGTAGCAATGTATCAGTTGTAATTTTGGCTACCACTAATTTTAACCTGACATGGCTCCAGTGACGAGTAGTTTTCCAAGCCACACAAGTGAGATTCAGCAGAGCGTAATTAACCACTGACCATTCATTGGAAGGTCACAAAATCACTTCTCCGAATAAATGTCATATTCATCAACAGTGTTTGTGTCCTGTCTCCCTGCTGCAGTAAACACAGTTCAATAAAACTAATAAGAAGTTTTCTGCAGACATAATAACGTCAGATGTGTGTTTGTAATGAGTAAAAAGTATCATGACATTCATGGTTGCAGACACCCGCAGCAGAGCATCCTACAGTATAAAACACCTGATGGATATTTGTATGCAGCTGCTGTTTGCTTCTGGTTTACTGGTGGTTCTCCGCTGAATCACTGTCAGCCATAACAGCTTCTTGAAAGATCCAAGTTTTTATTGCAGCTCGTCTGAAGCCAAAAGAAGCAGCAGACCACACATTCAGAACCACGGCTGGTCCCAGTAAACACAACATCAGAACAGCTCCAAGAAGCTCTCAGAGGCTTCCAGGTTTCTGGGTTTCAGGTTTGCTGAACCAAGAACCAAAACTAACTGTATGCACACAGTTTCCAATACATACAAAAGCAAAACATACATGATAAAACAAAGAAACATCCAACCAGACACCAAGATAATGTTGCAAACAAACATCTGTTCCTGTCAGTTCATATTTTTCCTCTCTCTGTTTCCGGTTATGTAATGTATTTTTAATTTTTTTTTGTTTAGCCAATACAACAACGTAAAAGCAGATAAGTAAAACAGATGTAACAGGAGAAGTCAAGGAGCCATTGGCTGATACAGTGGACCTCCCCGCAACTTACAGGGAGAAAAAAAAAAAACATATAGAAAACATGATTCAGCAAAATGCTCAAAGACACAAAAATTGGAAAGAGCATTACTCACCAATCAACTGACAATCATTTACAGTAAAACCCTAGACCTGCTCTATTTAAAAAGTGTCCAGGGATAACTTTTGTTATGAATTGGCTCTATACAAATAAAACTGAATTGAATTAAAAACTCAACCTGCCTATAAATGGAACAGGCTTCTATATGGGACAGGCCTTCCTTACACAAAACTCTTGCTCATCGAAGATGGGAACTATTTTGGGCGTAAACTGTGCCAGGACGGTCTGGAAACAGATCTCAAAGAGACTACAAACACAAGGTAAAAATAAATGAATGAATATTTTTGCCCTTTCTTCCATCCCTCTTCCTTCCTCTTCCCTGTCTTTCTTGTGGAGGGAAAGCAGCAGCAAGGCTGAATCTGCTGCACCGCGTTCAGCTCTGTTAATGCATCTGTGGTGTGTGTGTGTGTGCGTGCGTGTGTGTGTGAGTGTGAGTGTGAGAGAGAGAGAGAGAGAGAGAGAGAGAGAGAGAGAGAGAGAGAGAGAGAGAGAGAGAGAGAGGACACCTTGACCTTATCCATGACTCGTCCTCTCTTCCGGCTGTTGATCAACCTGATGTCACTGCTGCTTACTACTGCTTCCTCCTACTGTATACATGTGTGTTTGTAACCTTATGGGGACACCACAGCTCAGAGGAAAACAGGAAATTACATTATCTACAGTACACACACACACACACACAGACACACACAAACACACACAAACACACACACAAACACACACACACACACACACGAGGACACAGAATTACAAGTGCTGTTGTAAAAAGAAGGCTATAACAGCTTAACTTAGTCATATCTTTGTATAATATTTGTAAATAAATATTTTATTAGTGTTGATAATATGTGGCATTTGTCCCGACAAGGCTCACCTGACTACTTAAACACTGAACATGAATGACAGATCTGCACTGCTTGCAGATGTGCAACAAAACAAATCAGTGTATTTGGTGATAATTTGATGTGTTTGAGCAAAAATAGGAGTTTGGGACACGCGGAGCATAAAGACAGAGAAGGGAATTTGCTGCAGAAGCAGTTTCAAGATTTTTTTACATTTTGATACTCCTTTCCTGGTTCACCATTGGAATTTACTGTAATAAAAAAAATACAGCTGCCGGCCTCCATGAAGGGTTGAGATACAAAGTGCTCAGAGATGTTGAAGCTTTTAGAGAATTAGTAGAGCCTTTTTCAGTTTTCAATGGATTTCAATACTTTAAGGCTACATTATATGTTCATCACGTGTTTTTTTTTTGTTGGTCTGGTGTTTTAAATATTAATTCAACACTCTTACAATTAAAAGGTTGAACCTATTTTTCATCACTTCATTAAATACAATCTGCACTGAATCTGTTAAAGTAGAAAGATTAGATTTATTTGAATTATTCTGGATATTATTCACACAAAACATGCAACATAGAGTAGACAACAATATGGTAAACAGAATGACAATATAAGCTAAATAGTTTGCAAACCTATAAGAAGAATATGCTATGCACCCACAACTGGGATCTGGGCGACGCAATCTCTTCTCTGCCATTTTCAGTCCTTTCCAGCCTGACCTGGAGATGTGGTTTCTACTGCATGCTGGTTTCGCCACCACAGCAGAAATAAAACCTGTGATAAAATCCTCACTGTCCAGAAACCTGGAAGCTCCTCGGAGCCTCCGAGAGCTCGAGGTCTCCTGGGAGTCGATTCAGTTCCAGCTGTTTGGGCTGGTGGTTCTTCTGGCTGCGGACATGGCGATTAGGAGGTTCAGTCTGGGTTTTGAGTGTTTGGAAGCTTAGGAAGAGATGCTCGTACTTGGAAGGTTGCTGGTTTGAATCCCTGCACCCCCTGGGAACATTCCCGAATCAAGCTATAGGCTACAAGCTAACACGGACCGACAGATGAACCCTCTCTACTGTCTCTTGTGTATTTGTTGTGTTTGATGTATTCTGAAGGCTCATAAAGGGATAGGCATTGCAAATAAGCTTAGGCTATAAATGCTGTGGTGTGTGGCATTTGTTTATTTGTATAACAGTATGTCACATAAACAATAACATTTTAAAACAATCCATCACATTATCTTTCAAAATGTTACACTTTTAATGTCCTTAGACCAGCTTCCTTTCTTGATCCAGATTACTGGATTCCAACCTTTTTAGCTGGTGGTCCCCTTAAAACAAAGCAATGTCTCCTCGTGACACCTTACCACTGTAATAAGTTCAATGAAAGGGGGATCTTTCACTTCATACCCCTGATTTATTCTGTTAAATCTCATTGGGGTGGGGACCTTTGTTGGAGCTTGCTTAATTTGTTCCCTTTAAATGCTATCAAAGACTTTTTTGAATTTTGAATTTTCACCTGTCCCTGAATGAGGGAGAACCTCACCTCTAAATCAAACAGACATTTTAGTTGGAAGTGTGAGATACAGAAGGTAACTGGTCACATATATAATGCATTTTTGGTGGAATTTTCCCTTTACATATTTTGTACACGGCAGCAAATGAAAGAGTGAGAGAGAGCTATAGACAGAGAGAGAGCGACCGAGGTGCCCCTGTGTCCCTGGTCACACCAGTGGGTAACCACATGCTTCATCCCGTGGCTCCAGACACACACACACTGGGGCCAATGATATGTTGGGAAACGTAGTGAGGGGGAAACCTGAGAAGGGGAAAACTGAATGAAGAAGAAAAACAATAACAAGAAAGACCAAAAAATGGACGCCCTGTCTCTGTGTCACCCTGTCTCATTTACAGTACATACTGCATCCCACCAGTACATACAATGCTAGTGCTGGAAGTATTTACAGTATAGTTGCTACGGCCTCAAAATAAACATGATGGTTCAACTAACTGGGACCAGCGACATATAAAGAGCATACCGTAACCCGGTAATCAGTTTTAATGCAAAATTATTTTATTTACAAATAATGCCAGAAACAAATACCACATAATAACAAAAACTGTGGGAGTCTGGAGGTCTGACCCAGAAGAACAAAGGGATGGAGGAAGTCTGGACCCAGAGCTTCCCCACCTAAACTATCAAACCTAACAAAATCATTGTAACTAAACTAAGAAACAAAGAACTGAAAGCTGGACTACCAGACCCCCACCCTCAAAGAACAAAACACAAAATCAAAGAGCAAAAGAAGCTAACTGCTGCTGCTTCTCCAGCCTCGCTTAAACCTGGGTGCAGGGCCACCAGCCAATCATCCCCCAATGAGGAGCACCTGGGGAGGTAAGGAGAGGAAGGAGGGGGGCACAATGAGGGGGATTGCTTATCATTAGATTATCATGACTCAGGGATTAATACAAAAGCAGGAATTTATTTTTGTCATTGCGGTGGAGCTCATTTTGAACTTTTCTGTATTGGACTGCAAGGAATGATTTATTTTTCATTATGGACTAATCTGCTATTTTGTTAAGGTTAAGGGACCTTAAAAGGCATGGTTACAATAAGGTTACATATTGTAAGCAGTGATTTTAACCCAAACAGTAGTGTTTCCCTGAACCTAACCAAGTCAATTTGTGCTCATAAAAAAGGATATTAGTTACTTTTGGAAGGCCCAGACAAAGGATGTCGATGGGGTCATCAGATCACAAAACGCATCTATGTGTCCCCCTGAAGGGACGTTACAAATGACATGTTTAATTTGAAGGACTTGTTGAATTGGACAAAGACGAGGAAAGAGTCACAGCTGTTGTTATTTCTCTATTTGGTTCCATTCGGGTCAGCTGTATTTTGGAATTAATTCATACACACATTTGTTCCAGATTAGGTCTTTTTTGTGACTTTATGCAGTGATAAAGCGTTGTGAATATTGTATGATTTCATAGTTTCAGACTCTCCTCCACAGTAATGAATGAAAAACAGAATAATTCCTCCGAAAAACAGAAACTATTTATAGCTGATGGTCATAAAATCTCCCTGCGATATAATTCAATTATCCACGCGACTCCTGTGCTTGCTGTTGAGAAACAATGAAGTTGTCATTATCATTTAAAAATAAACTTGACATGCAAATTACAGTGAGGAAAATACTCCCAGAACCTGCTGCTGAACACTTTTGCTCTCCTTTGTCACTCGCTCACTCTTGTTCTTTGCATCTCCCTCTTTCTTTCTTTCTTTTTCAGTTTCCCCTTTTTCAGTTTTTCTGTCACCATTAATTTCCATTTTCTCTCCCTTTCTTCCTCTCCCCTCTACATTTTCATCTCCATCCCTTTCCCGCCCTCCCTCCCTCTTTTTGTCTTTTTTCCTCTCAATTTCCCACACTCCCTTTCTCTCTGTCTGCTGGCAGCCATGCGCGATGCTTACTACGGCGTCATGCTGGGTCACCACGCCACACACACGCACACACACACACTCCCACGCGGCGTCAGTGCCTGTTATAGTGACAACGCCGCGGACAAAACCAACAACAGACAAATATATAAAAATGGGCTGAAATTCCGTTTAATTTTAGGAGATTTCCACATCAGCGCTGCTCTCATAAACCCGGTGTTTAGACATGCATGTAGGTTTAGGGAAACCAGGGGAGCCAGAAAGATAAATAGACTGAATTATAACAGAAAGTTTTGGAGCCACTCATCTCCAAATAGCACGGGTACTTTTGTCACGGGTTTAAAAATAGATATCCAAGACCACAGAGAGCCTGAAGTCCCTAAAAATGTCCTCATGTGTTCTCAGACAGGCTTTCGTCTTTCATTTGGGTCTCATTTTTCTCTTGCTTGCTCGGCTTTTCCCACGTTTTTCTGACATTTTAAACAGTTTTTCATCATGAATGTTTTGAGCTGTTTGGGTTTGGACGTTTAGATTAGGTATACAATTAGAGAGATAAAACAAGCAAAAAAAAAAGTGAAAGAAACAAATAAGGGAATATGAAAAAGCTTGTTTAAGCAGGAGGAATATGAGTAGAAAATTACAAAACGTTGAAAAAGGAAACAGAAAAACTAATGTATGAACAAGTGGGCAAAAGTGAAAAAAGATGCAACTATGAGAAGGTTGGATTATCTTTTCGTCCTTCCATCAAGGCTGCTCTCAACTGAAATCCATCATTACACAAGAAATGTCTGCATTTCGTCACATGTAAGAAAAACCTTGGGCCGTGTGAACCCGGGTGTTTAAGTAAAACAAATAACACACTGACCAAAACCTCAACCTAACAAAATATTTAAACCTGTCGTCAACCCGAGAACGAGCCAACATTTCAGATACTCACTTATGTTTAGTGTTTTTAACCTTCCAGTGTTTTCACAGTTTCACATTTTCTCACCTTCACCTTTTCCCCTTTCAATCTTTATTATCACCTCTCTGTTTATTTTTCGCTTTTCTTCACTTTTAACATTTTGTTCTTATGCCAGATTTAATATTGTCATATTTTGTCAGCTTTTTAAACTTTTTCCTCTCCCTGCTTTATTTTTACTTTTTCTTTTATTCATCACATTGTGTCACACCTTTAAAGCACAAAGAAAAATCAGGTGAAGACAGTAAAGCAATAAAAAAAAGTAAAAAAGTGAAAACTGACACAGTTTGAGAAAACTGACTAGAATAGAACCAAACTGAACTCTTTCTCTGGATTCCTGCTGACTCAGATTCTGGCTCACTGATTGGCCGCTTTGACTGTTTCCACGGTGATAGATGGGTTCCACCAGTCAAGGTTAGTGGTCAGGCCTGCCCGGGATCTGAACCCGCAACCCACAAGCCCTTCAAAGCCAAGGCCACCAAACCAGCAGACCTCAGAGGTTTAACACCCACACCTTGGCTCCCGCTGACGAGAGAGGCAGGAGGGAGCGAGGAGAATGGAGGGAGGGACAGAGAGGGAAGAAAGAAGAGAAAGGAGGGAGGGACAGAGAGGGAAGAAAGAAGAGAAGGGAGGGAGGCTACAAGAAAGGAGGAAAAAGGAGAGAGGAAGTGTGTAGGGTGGAGAGGAAGAGAAAGAACGGAGAGAAAAACAGAATAAATACATTTTTCATTGCTTTCCAAAACTGTCAATCTAATGACCACACCCATTTGACTCTGATTGGTCAGGTGTACAGCAGAGTTGTGAAAGTAGGTGGGAGAGGTTAGTGAACCTCTGTCGCCATGGTTACTATAATAAACACGTAGTTAAGATTAGCGGATGATCGCGGTCATGCTTTCAAAAATAAACTAAAAAAAATGATGAACAAACATTCGTGTGTTAAAGTTGTGTGCATGTTTTGTTGACCCATAGTCATTTGTTGTCCCTCCACCCGGACCTTTTTTTGTCGCTTTACAAAATCATCTGACTTCCTTATAATTACTGTGGGCGCCAGAGGGCTTAGTCACATGTATGTAAACATATGTTGTTTTGGGGAACTTACTGAAATGACTTATGCTGTCATTCATGTAAGGGAGGGTAGTCTCCTTTCTCTAACAATTTATGTGACGGTTTGCCAAACAGCGCTTCATTTTTGTTTTGTATGCGATCTTAGTGGCAATAGATATACCAAAGAGGGATCCCAGATAACCTTAATGGCAGATCATTTGTTACACTGAATCAAATGGGAAGACCTCATTGGAAACACAGATGATTGGATGAACCATCTGTCTATAACCGTCTATCACAAGCAAACTTCAGATCAGATCAATGAACCATAAAACACAGTCAAACTCCTACCCCGAAATTCCACCGGGCGCGGCTTTATATCATCGCGTCTGAGGCAAGTGTTCAGAAGCGGAAGGTCGGCGTTGTTTACTTGTGTATTTTGTCCTTAAAAAGGATCCAAATAGCTTGTTTCTCTGCTTCAAATCTCCTCTAACCTGCCTCTGACTGGTTGACTCCTGGCCTGGTGCCACAATGTTGATAGTGTGAAATTCCTTCCAGAGTCTGCACACGGTGTTTTATTTTGAAAATTGGCCAGATTCTCCATGCTGTTTCTGTTTTTGGCTTCCTGCCAGTGCTTCGTGTGTCATGGCTTCACTCACAAATAGACTAGATTCTACGCGGAGCAGAACGCTGAAATGCTTCTGTTGGAGTTTTGAGCGTTGCCTAGAACGGGGAACGATCAGCTCCCCCGGCAACCGCGGCGGAGACAGAATGCGTCACGGCTGTGCCCAGTGGAATATGGGGGTTACAGAAGTCAGTCGGGAGAAGAGTAGAAACATATTTTCCACTGAGAAAAGCCTTCAGTGTTGTTCTTTGCTCTTCCTTTAACGGAGAAAAATGCTCCGGTTCTAATATAACTGATGCTAGCAGCAGCTACGCTAACCTCTTTAGCAGCCTTGTTGCTGTAGCTGCCAGCCGTTCCTCATTGGATGCCAACTGGTCCGTAACCACTGCGTCAGGACACAAACACATAGCTTGAAGCCTGGCAAGATGGATTCTCGCGTGGTTTCCTGAGTCCTCACACGGTTAGATCCCAGGAGCTACGGTAACGATCTTCTTCTCTACAGACTTTTATTTACACGTGTTCTCACTTCCCGAATCAGAATTGTTGCCCCAATTTCTTCCATCAAAACCCTTTTAAGCCACAGTCAGTCTTGCATCTCCTGCTATACCACCACTCTCTGAGAGTATCCCTTGTACCATGCTGCGTTCAGTGGGCCTACACCATAAGACGGCTGTGGCCATTCAGAGAACACCTCTGCCTTTGGATCTGATCAGACGATGCCTGAAAGAATGGAGGAAGAAAGGGGAAGACAGGGGAGACTGGAGAAATCAAAGAGTATAAGTGGAATAACAGAAGAGGGAGGAGAGAGGACAGGGAGCAGACAGTGAGGAGAAAATAGATGGATTGATGGAGAAAAGAAGCAGGAGAAAGGATAAATGACAGAGAGAGAAGATCGGAGAATAAAAGAAAAAGAGGAAATGAGAGGGAGGTGGAGAGAAATAAAAAGGGCAGCGGGAGGAGAGAAGGTTCGAAATAGGAAAAGGAGGTTAAACATCCATGACGTGTTGGTTCTGTGGTCAGATCTATGTGTCAGGCCTTGGTGTCTATTAAAAGTAAAGACAGCTTCACTCAGGGTCAGGGGTCATTCTCTCTTTTCCTGTGAGTGTGGAAATAGACTGTCACCAGGTTACACTCGACAAAAACACAATTCAGCTTCCTCCCAAATGGGAACATTTGGATCCCACAGTTCTAATCCAGCACAGAGGCTGGAATGATCTTTTACTTGTTGTCCTTGACCTCACTTTTGATGGTTTCCTTTCGTCTTCTGCACATATATTATGCTTCACCGTTCCTAAAGAAAGAGCTTCGTGTAGTAAGATCAAGTGTTTTTCTTACCAGCATTATTACAAGCTGTAAACCTCCTCTCCATTCCTGTCCCCAATAGCCCTCTGACAGGAAGTAAATCGCAGAGCTACTTCCTGCAGAGACAGGAAACAGGAAGCAGTGGGGGTATAGACGAGAGCCTGACATCCTGCGGCAAGAGGGAAAGACAGAACCCCCCCCCATGATATCATCTGGTCAAACCAGAGCGGTATAGCAGGCGCTCAGATGATAGAGGTATGGAGCAGACCACCCGATATGTGCACAACCAGAAAAAATGACTTCATATAGAACTGACTGGTTGCTAAGCTCCGCCCCCTTAGTTCCTGTTGTTATGGCTACCTAGCTTCACATTTTTAAACTACACGTATATGCAGTTTAACAGACAACAGTTTTGAGTACAATGGATCCTTTGTTTCACACAGAAGAAGACAAAAGCTTTTCATTTGCTCCACAGCCGAATCCAATCCAGTCAGCATAACTTTACTCCGCCATATTCAATCATTGGGATACATTTGCTCCACTGTTGTCTGTGTCTCCAGCAAAAAGTCACATGTTCATGAAAGAAGCACGGAAATAAACGAGCAGCATAAGTAGAAAATGTATCCACATCCAATAAAGACACTCAGATATAACGTTACAGCGCCCACTTCCAGTCCTGAACAGAGCTTTTTTGCTGTCACCAGTAAACCAAAAGTAATAATTCAGTTACTCTCTTTGCCCTGGAATTATTACTAAATATCAAGTAAAGATACTGTAGGTAATTATATAGCTAGTAATGCTAACTTTAGCGGCTTATCTAAGAGGACAAACACAGTGTATATCTAGTCCTTTTGTTTTTTGTTTTTTTTTGGAAAGGTGATAAAAGAAATGCAATCCTCAAAACTGTTTTTATGCTGAGTATCTCAATTACTAAAGCTCCATGCACACTCCTCCAACCAAGCGGCGACCTCAACGGCTGAAGAAGGAAGCCAACGCAAAAGATCTAAAATCTGCAGTTCCCCAAACGGCCACTTGAGGCTGGTTCCATAAGTGAGTGACTGTCCAAAAGTCCCCATGTTAAAATGCTCAACAGCAGAAATAAACATGTTTACAGCCTTGTACAAAATATTTTTTGGTCTCTATAGCTAATGTCCACATTCATATCTACTGTAGAGGGGGTGACTCTTTATATAGCTCACTAGTTTAAATTATATTAAGGCCTAAAGATATGCATAATTAAGAGTGTGGCCGCTTTGAGTGGCAGGTGGGTGCAGTCACAGGTAACTGGTTTCAACAATCAGGCTTCATTCAGCCTACCTCAGCTCCATCGCTTTTTGGACTGCCAGAGCAGACTACACTGAGCCTCACACGGCTCTTCAGAAATGTGACCACGTCCATTTTTATTTATACAGTCTATGCCTGCAACGTGGAGAAATACTAAGACCAGTTATGGCTGGACAATCTCTATTTGGGAAAGCTGCGTTTAGCAAACTCCTACTTACTACTCTCACATTATGAATGTTGAAAGCATGAGCCGGTGTTTTGGTCAAGTTTGGGAAAAGGTGACACAGGTGAGCCCTCCCCATCTATGAAAAGCTGTAGTAGCACAGTAGTAAACTAACATACGATTCCTCCATGCTGGAGCCAGATGCAGAGGCTGGAAAACTCGGGGCTTTGTTGCAATCAGATGATCTTCTGTTTTATATTAATACGAAGATTACCATATGATTACATCTGTAGCTTCTAGAAAACACTGATAGAAATCACAGTTTCTTTGCTTGGAATGGAATTGGTAATTTAGGCAAATGTACAAACAATGATCTCCGTACAAGAAACTTTATTAAAATACTTAAATCATTGTGACAAACCTCACTGATAAACAGATGGTCAGATGGATGCAGTAGATTTGTTTATTAGACCACCAAATGTGAATAGGTTTAAAGAGCAAGAAAGAAAAAAAAAGAGACTCAGACAAAAGTCACATATCTGCACATAAAACACTGAGGCAAGACTTTGAGTCTCGACTGTATCTGTCATCAATTCCTATTTAATATGTGACACACACACACACACACACACACACACACACACACACACACACACACACACACACCATTATTTCATGTTAAGTGGTTAGAGTCAGAGTGGAAATTCAAAAGCACATGGACATAAAATAGAAAGTTTTGGTCACTTACGCACACATTTACAGTATAATGAAAGACACACACACACACACACACACAGAAACACCTACACACACACACACACACACACACACAGACAACAGAACGGCCTACACAAACTTTTGTACAAGAACATTTCGGTACTCTATACACAAAGAAGCACAAACTCACAAACAAACACATTTACAGTGTAAACCAGCTGTCATCTCACATCAGAGTTTAAAATCACGCACACACAAGGGCGACTGCGGACACACACACACACACACACACACACCCCTACCTACACACACACACACAGTTGTGTGTAGTTGTGGTGACTGATCTGACATCCTAACCACATGTGGCCAATAAAACACCACAGAGACAGAAAGAGACGGGAAAATCCCTCACTCTCTCTCTCTCACTGTCCCTTTAACTCTCTTGCATAGTCTCTCTATCTCTTAAACAGCTCTCTCTCTCTCTCTCTCTCTCTCTCTCTCTCTCTCTCTCTCAAACACATGGACATACAAATTCCATTCTCTCTGCCTCTCCCTGTAGTGCTCTCTGGAGCTTTTTGATCCTCAGTGTCTATCTCCAAATGTATCTTTAATGTCTGTCTCTGGTCTCTCTCACCATGCATTCACACTGTGAGCACAATAACAAAGAAATCACCATCATGCACTCATTCTATAAGCAGATAGAAGACCAAGGGTCTTTATTGAACCCCCATTCCTCCCACTTTCTGCAATGTGTACAGCTTTTTAGCATTACAATGCATGGTCCCAGGTTTGCAATGTTCAACATATCACAAAACTGAAACGATGAAGGTTTCAAAACTAGATCTTGACACAGGGACCTTCATCAAGAACACATGGCTTCAAGATCAGGTACTAAAGCATGAACATTTGAAAATCTATGATTGTTACATGCTGAAACTATTTCTAGATGAACGAAAGCCAAGCTCAGTGACTTCCAGTCAGTCTTGTCGCTGCTGTGAGGTTCCCAGAAAACCAGCTGAGACTTTATTTTCCCATCATTACATTCTTCCATCCTTTCTGCTTTTCTTCAACGTCTCCTTCTTTATTTTTTTATTATCCTACCCTCCATCTCTTTTCCTCATATAGATTCTCATCACAAAAGTTCTGTCGAAACACTGGATAGTTTGTAGACTATATTGTTTAAAAAAAGCAACACTATGTAGAATTTGGTATTCCTTGTGATTTTAAATAAAGTCACATGCATTTCTTATGACACATTACATTACTTATGATATGAAAAATGAGCGAGTTGACTCCTTTGCTAACACAGCCAAACATCAAGTAAGCACAACAGCACAAGGCAACACGCTCTGTAGCGGCTCCGCTTCTGACACGCTCTCGCTGGGATTTAAGGACTCGTGGATCACAAAGCCAAACTGCGTTGCAGACACAACGTCCTGAAGCTGTGACCCGGTGGAATTTCGGGGGTTAGGTCTCTTTGCTTCTCATAGAAGCTGCTGAGCATGGTTACATTGCCCGCTTGCCCTGCTCCAGTTCTAGCCCGACACTGGTGTCACTCTCCGTCAGCATTCCCCAATGTCCTGGTCCCAGGACTTCTCCCCGTGGTCCAAAGCTCTCTGGTGCTGCCAGTGCAAATACTAACTACCCCAGTGCTCTGAGCACCCAGTCCTGGGCATCCAATGCAGTACGGCTATGCTAACAGCAGCTACATTTTGCAGCAGTTACTTTACTGTCCATCAGGAAACTCTCTAGATCACCGAGTTGAGACATAAAATGTGATCCAGTTTCACCAAAATTAGTGGCAGAGTTGGTGGTTTGTGGTGCCGTTACTCACTTGTTCCAACCCGGAGCCAAAAGTTATAGAACAAGAACAGGCGTAAGGGACACAGTAGGACTGACAGTGGCACCATTCACCCTTTTACAAGTTAAAGGTAGTTTAAGGTAGATAAGTTACATAATGGGGCTTTAAAGTAATGCTCATTTGAAAGAATGAAACCTACAAGAAGTATCATAACCAAAAAGGAAACAAGAGCACAAAACCAACAGAGACTGATGTGAAAGTTCTTGTCTGTTTGCAAACTACACTGACATTTTAAAGTTTCACACACACACACACACACACACACACACACACACACGCACGCACGACACACACACACACACACACACACACACACGCACACACACACCCACACACACACACACACACACACACACACACACACACACACACACACACACACACACACACACACACACACACACACACACACACACACACCATGTACACACCCTTGAAGCTCACGTGTGTTAATTTCCAGCTGGGAGCAGGGGAATCCAGCCTTGTGTTATCTTTTCCAGTCAGGGTAACAAGCAGCGGGGTGAGGTGTTCCCATAAAAATATACACCTCTTCCTTTCTCTACACACACACACACACACACACAGAGGCACACACACCCTTTCCGAACATCCCAAACTTCCACAGGAGTTTCCTCCTCGTTGTTCACATTCCTGTCAGTTACCTCAGAAACACACACACACTGTTAAAACCCCTTACACTAACACACACAGTGAGCACAGTACATGACCCGGTGTAGGAAAACACACAAACTCTCCACACCACACACAATCCCCAGCTTGGTTTTTACAGCCCAGTTAAGATATGTAAAACTCTCTGTTCTCCAAGCAAAAGATAATTGAATCTTATGGAAATGTTAATAAAAAAGTTGCTAGTCAGACAAAAAGGAGTGCAAGAGTGAGTGTGGGACTGAGGTGAAAAGGGGCAAATGTGGTGGAACCGAGCAAATAACAGCGGTTAAAAAAAACAGAAGGTAAAAAGAGAGGAAGACAAGGTGGAAAAAAGGGGAAAGGATAAAAAGATACACATGTAATTGCTGGAAAACAAGAATAAAGTTTGAATAGAAAAAGAGAGAGGAGCATTGTGTGAAAGAGAGAGGGTAATGAAAGGGAGGAAAGGGAATGAAAGGAGGAAAATTGAATGGAAAGATATAAACAAACTAGTAATGAAGAAAGTGGATGAGAGGATTTGATGAAAGAAGGCGATGAAAAGTGAGAAAAAAGTGGCGAAAGATGATGAAAACCAGAGTGGATTGGGTAAGATATAGAAGGTAGAAAAGGATGAATCGGAAAAGACGACAAAGATAGAGACAAAAGAGGTCAAGATTGGAGGAGGGCTGAATGAAAGAGAAAATGAAGCAAAAGTGAGCAAACTTTGTTGAGAAAAGGGAGAACAGAGGCTGAAAGAGAATGATTGTAAGAAATGTATGGGTGAAAGAAGAGAGGAAAGGAAAAATGGAAGTGGGACGTTGAGTAGAAAGATGGAGATCAGTCAGAAATGACAATAAGGGGCACAGAAAGGAAGACAAGACAGCAAACAGAAAGGCGGCAGAGAGAGATGGGGAGGTTTAAAGAATTACAAAGATGGAATAAAACTAGAGGCAGGAATCAAACTCGTGGGAAAGAGAAGAAAAGCAGAGGGAAAAAGAAGAGAAAATTGCAGTGACTGGGGGGCTGAGAGGGAATAAAACAAGACCAAAACTGAAACAAAAAAAAGAAGAAAACAGACTGTCAGAGAAAGGAGAGAACAGTTTTTCCTTGTTCCAAATGTTTTCTTTTGAGTCCTTCAGCGGTTTGTTCGGGGGAAAACTGTCCCGCCGAGCCAAACTCATTTAGTGTCTGATCTGAACCCGGAGAGGACAGAATCAGAGCAGATCACAGAGGATTACAGCACCGCACAAACACTGAGGTGATTGTCTTTTCCTCCTCTTCTCCTTTTCCCAACCCTGCTTTTGAGACATGAGGACTGAGATCCACAGCTTTCACAGAGGACACTGAACAGTACAACTGCATACACTACAATTACTGTGTTTGTTCTGGAAGATGATGCTTATTTCACTGTATTTTCAACCGTTGTTATGAAAAACATCTACTCTGTAAAGCTGTTCAGTCCATCTGTCTCTCAAACAAATTGAGCTTAACCTGGTTCTGAGTCGCCACCCGCATCTCCAAACTGTCATAGGCTGTGGTGAATCGGCCAATCAGTGCTTTGTAGGTTGGATTATGAATGGGGACATCTAACATGAAAATAGCAACAGCAAAATGGCTATTGTAGCTAACTTATATGACAATTATATTATTATTATTGTAGCTTTTGTCACACCTCTAGCCGTCTCATACAGATGCACAGGGTAACTTTCAGTGTCTGTATGAGACACACAAGGGTCCCACAAAGCTTTTTAGAAGTATAAAGAGCAAAAAAGTCCACATAAGGGGAAGGGATGGGTCCAACAAACAAACGACTTTCACCCAGGAGACACATTAACTTATTTCAAGTTAGGTTTTGTAAGATTTAACTTACCAAACCATAACAAAATAGCACACACAACATTAACCACATGTTAGAAAAGCTTTTTGGCAGCCCGGTGTGTCTCATAGATATGTCAAAGTGTACACTGTGCATCTGTAGGAGACGCCAAGGGGTGTGACAAATGCATCGGTATTTGACGACCTGGGAACGACTGGTTTTATAAAACTGTTAAATCTGTTTCTTCAAGCCCCGAACATTTATTAAACTTTCCCTTGAGTCTCTCTGACTGCACCAGCATATCAATTGAGCATAAGTTACCTTACTGGGGAAATATCGCCATCTATAGGTTGTTGTCTTGTGTGTGTCGTGTTTCATTCGGTAGTGTCAGTGAGCAAGCTAGCTAGCCAACTATTTTATGGACGATGGATATAAAGTTTTTCATGAGGAGTCAACTACTTTTGCCTCCTTTTAGGGGGCAGGAGTGAAAATGAGTCATCCTCAACATTGGTTGTGTTCTGGTTTCAAGACAGTTGGAGAATAATTAAATTAAAAATAGAATGTAAGCTCAACTGGATGCTTTTTTTCCCTGAGCAACTATCATGTTTTTCCCAAATGATGTATAGAATTAAGGCATTCTATTCTATTCTATCTCGACTGGCTTGAAAAATAGTGCATACAGTTGCCCTAAATGTGAAAACAATTTCCCCGGGTGAGCATGCCCCCCTAAGTTTGGGATAAGCCCCGAATGTTTGCAACATCTATCCCACAATACTGTGACTGGAGCAGTTCATGTTTATGAATCATTCCAACATTAAAGTGTTTGCAGGATGGAAGAGGTTCCAGCCATGTTTAATATAAACTCAAGTGTAAATATAACAAAAGCATTTACAGTTGCAGCCATTAAATGTAGCAATATTTCGGATTTATCTGTCGTATAGGCTTAGCGTCAATTCTTGTACCAAGTTAACAAATTAAGTTAATCCAAAAATAAAGAATTTTAAAGAAAGATGAGTAATGCGCTTTTCATCATTTAATTTGATACATTTTATTAATTAATTAATGTTTTTTTTATTAACTGGCGTCTGTCAAAAGTATCCCACAGGCAAAGTATCCCTGATGTAAACAATGTTCAAATCATGATATTCTGACAGAATCAAATTAAAGGTGGTTAAACAACAAATGTTCATATCATTTCTGCCACAAAATAGTCGACATTACTAGCCAGCTGAACATGGTGATTTTTTGGTTCTCATCAGACAAAATTGTATGAGATGTTTCTGTTGTGTTGGTCGGCTCTCTGAATGTGTGGGACTCACTGAACATGAAACTTTCTTTGGATCCAAATTGTAAGCAAAATGGGGATATTTTTTGGTTAATTTATCCAAACTTGATGAGACACACAAACCAAAGTGCAACCTTAGAAGTGTTTATTTTGTAACATTATTTAAAAAAAACCAGAACAGATCCATTTACAGCCAACACACATTTTTCAAATATAAACACAAACAAAACCATCTACGACAGAAAATATAATTGTCCCCGTCAGACAGATTTAGAAGCACCACAGTGACATTTCTGGGAAAATCCTGGTTTTAATTTGTCGTTATATGACTGCTGAGAAAATGCCCTTTGTTTTAATCCCAAAATCTTGGGTGTTTCGTTTTTTTTCTTCGGATAATTATTACCAAAAGCCCCAGAGTTATTGCACGACTCAAAAAAAACGCCTGTCTCTCTGATGTTCTTTGTGTGTCACAGTAAATTAAAATGGAAACAAGACTCTGTTTGGTGTCAACAGAAAAGAATGTCTAATGCAGATGTAGAAGTATTTTTTTAATACTTTGCTTGAACTGCTGCTTCTCTGTGGCTCCATCCTCTAGAGGAAATGTTAGGAAAAATCTACTGTTTCTCTGTTTTCAACCAATGACGGCCACAAGGAACGGTGTGGTAAATATAACTGGTTTCACTGTACAAGATGCTCGATTTTGTTCTACTGTTTCATGTCCAAAAAAAAAGTATTGTCTGTAGGACTAACGCAGAACAGATGCAGGATAAATCCTTGAAGAGAGACTTCTGTTTTTTGCTCCCACTGTATACAAAAATATTACAGCATAAATGCTACATAAACACATACAGAGAGACCTCTACAGTGGCTACAACTGTTGATTTTTCATTTTCTCAGCAGAAACAAAACCACATGTTCTCATTTGAATTTCCAGTCATTTAGATAAATATCATTGGTGTGGGAGGGAAAGGTTTCTCATTTTCTGGTATCACTGGTAGCACAAAGTGTAACATGTAACCCATTAAAGACCCATAGAGATCTACAAGAGATCTTTACAATTATAGATTTCCTTTTGAAGGCAAGTTTATAATACACAACATTTTGGAGGAACAGATAAAAAGAGACCAGTGGAAACCACTGCTCCAATGCATTTATATTCCAATTATCTTTAAAGGATTAGTTCAACATTTTTGGAAATACACTTATTCACTTTCTTGCTCAGAGTGAGGTGAGGATATCCTGATCACTGGGATGAGAATGGAGCTGGGAGGCGATTGGCCTAACTTAGCATACATGGGGAAACATCTAGTTCAAAAATCTGCCTACTATCGCCTCTAAATTTAATTGGTGCACAAACAGTGAAGGCAGACTAACAATTTTATGTTTTGCCTTGTGTATCTATTTCTTGTCAAACAACAGCAGGAGCAGTAATTACACAGCACAACTCCCACTGAAAAACCACAAATTATTGTTGTAACATTTCTGTTTGTGTACAGATTAAACAAACAAGATGAACATGAGAACATGTTAGTTAGTAAAGTAGAAGTGCTGGTATGCAGACCTTTGAATTTTGAGGAAAGCCAGGCTAGCAGATCCCCTGATTCCTTTCTTTATGCTAAGCTAGGATAATCAACTCCAAGCTCCAGTTTAACATCTAGACACAAGAGTGGTCTCAATCTTCTCATCTAAATTTCAGCACGAAAGCCTGTTTCCTAAAATGTCAAACTTTTTCTTTGAGACAAGACATTTTAAAACAGAATCTATAAAATAAACACAGTCCTTTCTGTACAAAACATATTTAAAATTAGGGACTTTCGATAAGTAGTGTTCCTTCTATACAGCTAAGACATTAAACTCAGTGCAAAGAGAACATTTCATAGTCTCAATTTCTCCATCACATACTGCCAAGAGGCTTAGCAACTATATATATATACAGTATAAACGGCTACATCAAATTATAAAACCTATGAAAACCATTTTCCTTCAACAATTTTTTTTATGAAATATAGAATTGAACAGTTTTTTCTTAGAGTGGTCAAACTGCTTACCAAAACCTGGAAGTATAATGTTGCATTGAATAAAATTGCAAATATGCTGGGACTGGAAATGATTAATTTTAAAGTATAAAATGAAGCTGTTTTCATGAACCCAATCTTCTACACATTTTAACGTTAAAAAAGGAGACATTGTTTAAAGAAATGATATGCTTGTTATACCCGAGAGGCTTACTGGTTAAGAAGAATGATCTTTGAATCATCAAGATATCTTTTTTTGCCAAGAAGTAAAGCAACTTAAAACTTTCAGATTTTGGCATGTAGTTTGACATGAGGCCCTGTCATGGACTGAGACTGAGAAAGGGAACGGCATGTATCACGGTCAGAAAGAACCCGACCCAGCTTGTAAAACATCCTGATAGTTTGTGGGAGACATCAGTGGTCTGCTCTGGGTCTGTGGCCAAAGCTTTCCCGACATCACTGCAGAGAGATAAGTAGAGGCTGGATCAAGTCTCTCCCATCGAGTCTTTTTCCCTCTGTCCATCTCCCGAGTTTGTCCATGTTCCCATTTAACAAACGCGATGAATTAATCTAAACTTAAAATCAAGTTCAGTGAGATGAATATTTATTTGCCTGGTCCTGAGATGAAATGTCAAAAATGAAATGAGATGATCTTGCAATTCAGATTTGTCCTACTTGCATATTTTTCTGAGAGTACGCACAGTGCAATTAAAGAAATATTTTTACTTGCATTATTGGCCTATATATCATATACTGTCTGTCACCAGAGGGGTTAGATAGCAGAGAAACAAAGTGGAAAATGTAAGACCTTAGTGTCTTGCTTATAGGAACTTCAGCTAAGACAAGCACTTGTTGAGATCCTTGAATCCTTCAGACTATGTAGCCTCCAGAACAAGTTGCAGGTCATAAATGTATCCAGCAATTGATAGACTCCCAGTTTATTAGCACTATGCAAACAGAGACCTAGCAACCTCGATAAATAACTGAAAAGCACAAGGCTATTCTATGGTACTCTCCAGCTGCCTTTCTTTTACCTTCCCTTCCCACACTTGTTTCTTTATTTTCTTTTTTGTCCCCAGGAAGCACCTTGAGAACATAGGTACTATTCATTTGGATCAACATAAAATATCTTGATAAAGAGCTTCAAGCTTAGAGAGATGCAAAAAGGAGTTTATTCTCCTTAAGTTAGCTAATGCCCTTAGCTAATGCGCTCTGCCAGCAAAGGTGCCAACAGCTAGTAATCCATATCAGGCTATTCCATGAATCCTACAAACAATCCTGCTGGTTGCAAGTTACCCAGGCTAGGAAATTAAAGTTAAGATAGCCTGTAGCTATCAAGGATCAAAATCATGTTCAGGAATGCATAAATAAATTTTAAAATAAGCAATTAGCATGTAAATGTTCATATAATTTGACAAGAGGGCTTTCTTTGCCAGTTTCTTTATTTTTTCAAGTTAGCACATTTTTCAAAAACTGTGGTTTGGATCTACCCAGCTTCGGCTCTAGTAAGCGCTTCTACAATGAAACCGCTAATCAGCATTTTTCTTTTTAGTATTTAGAGAAAACTTTAAAATTTTATATTTAGAGTTGGAATCTGTGAGACATCAGCAAGACAAGACAATGACTTGACTAAAAGTATGAGCCAAAACTAATCTTCCCCATATACTTCCTCCCAATCACGTAACAATGGCTCCAATGAACCAAACCACACTGTGCAGTATGCAAGGAGGTATGAAAGATGAGATCATGGAGTATTTATCCAGTGATACAGGCGCTGTAATAGACAGCACTGCTGGCATCAGAGAGAGCAGATATAAGAGGGCTACTCCCTTCATCACACCCACCAGCACCACTCAAAATGCTACTGACATCCCTGTTAATAATACTGCTATTCATGCTACTACCTACATTACTGCTACTTCGCCCACTCAGGACTTTCAGGCCACCCCCACAACCCCCACCACGCCCATAGGCCTCCTCTCGATTTCTTCCAACATTTACATATTGGTCAAATTCATGCCTGTCTACCTCAGACCAAAACTCAGCAGAAGAAGAGCCCAAATTGCTGGAAGACTCTGCATTTGAAGGGTCTAAGTGCAAAGTGGGAGGGAAGTTTGACTGGACAATGGAGGAGGAAGAGCAGGAAGAAGGAGAGGTTTCAGGAGGAGGTGACAGTTGCCCCAGGTGAGAAGGCATGTAATATGCAGCATTCGGGGTGCTGCTCCCGTACATCTGGCTGAAGTAGCCAACAGGAGCAGTGGCTTGATGTGGTGTTTGGTGGGATTTTATTGGCTCAGGGAGGCTGATGGAGGGCTGGGAGTAGGAAACAGGGGAGGAGGAGTCGGACAGAGGTGGTGGGCACTTTACAGGACTCCGCAAGGCGATGTGGTGACCGGTAGCGTGAGTATTTAACCTAGAGTTGACCGAACTCGCCAAAACTGAGGTGGCAGAGCTCATGCCTGAGGTCATATTTGACTCAACAGAACTCATTCTTGAATCAACTCTGGAGCTTCTACCAGGACTCAAACTGGAATTCATACTGGTGCTTAAACTGGGCCCAACACTCATTCCTGAACTCTGACTGTAGGTTGCTGCACCATGTATGGAGTTGTGGTGACTATGGTTATAATTATGGCTGTAATGCTGGTTATGATGGTGAAGGTGGTGGTGGTACCCACTCCAACCTCCCATCCCTGCCTCCTCTTGCATATGTTGGGGGAAAAACACAGATTCCCCAGCTCCATCTTCCAGGATATCCAGAGGGGACATTTCCGGAGTGGGCAGGCCATAGCTCTCCAGCTCTGGGTGTCCTGGGGCCTGGAGGTCCCTGAAGTGCCCAAGAGAGGGCAGCAGGTGGTGAGAATGATGGTGATGCGTAGGGTGGGCACCTGGGTGTCCATAAGGAGAACCTCCAGAGATACCTTCTGCACCCAAGGGGCTGACACCAGATCCTAATCCAAGGCCTGGTCCCCCACCCTGGGCTAAGCTGTGAAGCAGAAGCCCTGGTTCAACCCGCTTGAGTTTTTTGGTGGTCTTTTTGCGGCGTGGTCTGTACTTGTAGTTTGGGTGATCCTGGAGGTGCTGGACACGTAGACGTTCAGCTTCCTCTACAAATGGCCGCTTGTCTGTAGCACTCAAGGCCTTCCAAGACTGACCTGAAAGGGACACAATTCTATTAATATTTTCATCATTTTAGGACCTTCAGCAAAGAAAGATGGTACACAAAAAAAAAGGATTGCTTTTAACCTCACTGACAATCAATATCTAAAATTATTTTTATTAATGAATCTGATTATGAATTACTCGTCTGGCCTACAAAATATCATAACATAATCAAAAATACAATCACAATTTTCTGTGATCTTTTTAGTGATATGTTCAAATTGCCTGTTACTTCCACCAAAATGTCCAAAATCCAAAGGTATTCAGTTTAATGTCATAAAGACACACACAAATCATATATATACATATCTGAGGAGAGCCAACATTTCTGCATAGAACAGATAGATAATATCAAAATAGATACATCTTAAATAGATAAATCAATCAATAACTGGTGTTCATTATTATGTGCTAAATTTAACCCTTGGTGTTTTTTAAATGACATTCTACATGTGCAAGGCCCGCTGTGGTTCCAGGATGCCAGAACATCCTTGTGAGCCAAACAAATTAAACTGCGGTGATGAAAATGACAGCATTTACACTGAAGCCATTAACGGTTACATCGTCAAACAGCTCAGCTGACTTCTACATCACCACCTGTGTACTGCTTAAATGCTCATTTAAGACAGGCCCTGTTTCTGTAATGCCTAAAACAGAAGCAGTAAGGAAACATGTCTCTACATGTCTACGTGTTGTTGAGAGCACTGGAATAAATGTCCCCCACAGCTTAATTTTGTGGGATGGTCTTAATGGTATTTAATCCAAAATGTCTCCAAACACAGTATTTGTACATTACATTAAGTGCTTACATTCCAAGTTTGTCTTATGGTTGTAAATATCAGCAGCCTTGAGATTTGAGAAGCGTGTTTCCTTCCAGAAACTTTTTCTTAGAGTGAAAATCTCAAGCTGCAGATGAGCTCAGTATGATATGTTGTATCAATAAACAGAGTAATATTAAAAAGAGCATCTTGCTAACAGAAAACAATAACAGATAAACAAGTCAGTAAAACTGAAACTGTAATCTGATTACTTTGTTGCACTTTTCATTCTTTAACATGAAGAATTTTAATATTATGGCACAAATGTTCAATGACTTTTGGCATTAACAACTATTGAGTCGGGAATTGAAAACTAAGAATTCCTAATTTGATTAATTCATTACTCCTTTCACTTGTACACACAAGGTCCAGTCTTGGAATTAAATCATTTCACTTAATATCTACTCAACAATACATTAAAACAAGTTAACAACCTGCGTAGTTTGCATCAGTCCTGTCTTTAATCATGGCAAAATTAACAATACACTGTAAGCCCTGATCCCTGACTCCATATGAATGGCTCCTCTTAAACTGAGACTACCTGATTAAATAAAGGATTATCTAAAAATATATAATCAAAAGCTGCCCCTTTTCCCATCAAATCCTCACCCCCTGCTGAGTTAAAAGATGGTCATAAAAAGTTTGTAGTTTCCTCACAGGGGGAGAGCAACGGTTGTGGTCACTTTGGATTCATGTTGGTCACAGTGGACTCCATATTTTCACAAAGCTACAGGGTTTGGAATATAATGAGCACATGATTGACAGCGGATAAGTGAGTTATGCTGCAGGAGTGGTTTAAGAAGTTATGGATATGGATTTTTTTCCCCACTGACACTGAGGAAACCACAAAGTTTTTACTGTTTGAGCATACATTTGATGCTCACATTATTGTTGTCACTGTAATGTGGAGATCTAGTCATGAAATATAATATTTATCATCTCACTGCAGGTTTTTTTGATCACGTGAAATTTTGCACTTGTTCTTCAGCCAATCATAATGTATTGCAAATGTCAGTGAAAAGTGAAGATGTTAACGCTTAAAACCCATCAAATCATAACATTTACATTTACTCTCCATGGTTTATATTAGTACTACTAGCACTACAGGGACTACAGTGACTCAGACGGGTGGAGTTTGTCACACTGAGCAACACTGGTCAAAGACTTTATAAAAATCACTTTTATAAAACTTTTGTTTTACGTGTTGGTTCAGACAATCTAAACTTTTTCAGGGCCCAAAACCGTCTTCAGACTAAGATGATCTCAGCCAACACTCATAGAATAAAAGATCACTGTCGCCTGAAGATGCTTTCGGGAAACTGGGTCCTGATGTGGGAAATTTCACACTTTGACAAACATAAAATAAATGCAAATTTTGATAAAACTCTTTATAAATATTTAAAAAGCTGCTAATCCTAATTGGATTCCATATGTCTGGTTGCATTACTACATACAATTTCAGAGTTTTTTTCTTTCCCTGATTCTGTTCTCTGTCTTACCGAGCATCTTGCTGAGCACAGCATTGTGCAGGTCGGGGTTCTGCAGGGCCAGTCGCTTCCTCTCATCTTTAGCCCAGACCATGAAGGCATTCATAGGCCTGCGGATCCTCTGCTCACCCCCAATGGCTTTCCCATCGACCGTGCCTGCCGACACACCTCCCGCCTGGGTCATGTCCGGACTCTGTCCCCCCGAACTGGGTGTGAGAGAAATCCTAGGTTCTGTCCTCCTCATGTTCCCGCATCCGAGGCCATCGGGTGAACTGCAGTCCCCGGAGAGGTTCTGCTCAAAACCCATTTCAGAATCAGAGGCGGGGCTCGGGGTCCTGGACACCCAGGGGCCCCCGAGAGACACCCGATTGGCATGCAGAAGAGTCTCTCTAGACAAGCTAGGCTCGGTTAAATTCATTCCAGAACCGGGCTTGGATTCAACTTTTAGTCCAAGTGATATTCTGAAAACGTCTGTCTCAGTTTGTTGGGTTGCAAAGTTCTGGAAAAAATGTGTAACTCAAAATGTTTCAGATGACAAAGAGAAAGATCAAGAGAGGAATTTGATGGATTTGGAGCACAAATCCCAAAGCAAAGCATCGAGATCTGAGAGGAGGGGGAAGATGAGAAAGAAAGAGAAAACAAACAAGTTGTGGTGCAGGATATTCCCCCTGAAAATGATCCACAATGACTCTGCCTCTTTCTTTTCTTCACTCGTTCACAGTTCTTGTTTGGAGTGTGTGGTGCAGCGGTTTGTCCAAAGCTCGATTCCCCTCCGTCACTTAGGCCGTCCGACTCACTGTCTCTCTGTCTGCCTGCCCTGTTTGAAAGTTTTGAAACTTGTGGCCAGATTTAACCGACCCACGCTGAGTATATATACCCCGCCCTGACCAATCACATAAATATATAGTTGGGGATTTAACCAATGAGACGCCAGGCGGGCGCGAGGGGAAGGGACGAATGTGTGTGGGAGACAGAGCAAAGAGGTTGGGGGGGGCAGGTCCAAGCGTTGCCTCCCCCCTCTTTCCTCCTCCACGACCGCCACCCTTTCCTCCCCCCTGAAGCTTCACACACACACACACACACACACCCTGTTCGCCTGTACAGGGAGATGTAATCAGAGAGGTTCCATTGTTTCTGCCCAACTGAGAATGGAGCTTCTCACACACACGAATACACACATTCAAGACACACACGCATTCAAACTGTAGCACACACACATTCACACAAGTACACACACACACACACACATATACATAAATGCACAGATACATGCTCGAACAAGCATGCATGAAACAAGCGTATTAAAGTGAGATTAAGACGACACATGTATAATTAAGTTTTCATACAAATGAGAGACAAAACATGAACACATACACCTACAAACATACACACACACAGAATGTGTTTCTATATGTGCTAATGTGGGTTTACAGTGTCTGTGTATGTGTGTGTGTGTGTGTGTGTGTGTGTGTGTGTGTGTGTGTGTGTGTGTGTGTGTGTGTATTTGAGGGCAGGACAGCGGTAACACAGACAACCACAGTCCCGACCAAAGCGATTAGTGGCTGAGCTTAACAACAACTCACTGAGAGAGAGAGAGCGAGAGAGAGAGAAACAGAGGGAGAGAGAAGCAATCAGGGGCTGGGGTCGGGGGGTCTGGGGTGGTGCTGATGGGGTTTGGGAAGGCTGCACCCCTACAGTAAAGTTCCAGGTTTGATTGATGCAACAGTAGCCAGTTGCTTGTACAAGATACTGAACTGCACTGGAAAGTGGTTGCATGTATTATTAAACAACTATTGATTATAATCAATTATTCAAATGAGAGGAAATTAATCAGCAACTATTTTGATAATCGATCAAAAGTGTATTTTTTAAGCAACAATGCCAAACAGGTTTCAGTTTTTCAAAAGAGCCAATTTGCTGCTGTTCTTTCTTTCATATCACTGTGAACTGAATACCTTCAGAAAAGAATGAGTTGATTGAGTTTACAAAGCAGAGGAACATTTTTCATGTATGATACTTTAGATGTGATGTGATAGTATGTGACGCAGTGGAGTGGTACAGTGGTGAAGGTGTTGTGCCATTGCATTCAAAGTTAAAGTTAAGACTCAGATAAGAATGAACAGATGCACATTCTCTCCGGGTTGGAAGGGCTGAGGCAAAGAGTTAAAAATGTTTCACTTTGAGCCAAAACCATCAAAATAATCTGTAAAAGTTACCTTTTCAGAAAGTGTGAACACACTGACACGTGGTGCTTTCAAGTGCTGGTCAGGGAATCTGTTATCATGGCAGCCAACTGCAGGACAGTGATGCATTCACGAGCTACTTCAAGACATGGGAAAATTAATCCCAGAAGATCGGCTATAAACAAATATGGGCATGATGAAAGGTTTATGGGTTTTACCAGCTCATTGCAAATAAAGCTTTTTAGTGTCAGAAAATAATACGGAGACAAACACTGCGTCTTGGACTCAGTTACTGCCTGCTGAGAGAATTTGAAAGGAAATTTGAAAGGACTTTAAAGTCAGACATTATTTTCAAACTCATCCCTCAACTAAACGACCTCTTAAGATGAATATTGTATGTGGTGTGTTTGTCTGCCAAGGACATGCCCCCCTACCCCCTCCCTCCACCACAATATAATGACCCCCTGTGCACACACACACACACACTTACTTTCCTCCCCACGCCCAGCTCCAGGGGAGACTGCTGCGGCGTCTCAGAGCCTCCTGCTAGTCCAACCAGGAACTACTCCCACTTACCGCTGCTGTCCCAGGCTCCCTGTCTTGTGTGTGTGTGTGTGTGTGTGTGTATCTGCTGCATCTTTATGTCATTGTTTATGGTGTGTAAGTACAGTAAGTCCCAACCTCTAATCTGCGACATAAATCTGTCTACATATTATATTATCTTATTTTATACTTCATAGAAAGTTCTGTGAAATGACTGTAAGTTGGGGCGAGAGTTGTGCAGCTGAAAATTTACAGCGTGTTCTTAATCATGTTATAAATTTTACTTTGAAGCTATGGCTCGCAGAATGCTTGAATTCATTCATTCATTAAACTTGTGTAACACAGGGTGCTCCACAGGGTTTTTCATTCTCTTCTGTGTGGGCACAGCACGTACAGGGATGGGTAAAAGCTTCATAGAGATATACATTAAAACAAACACATTTTTTAGATGATAACAATAAGGCATCAAACCTGTGATAAATACGTTTAAATACAAATTTTAGTTCAGTTCAGTCATTTATTTTCCCAGATGGGAAACTTGAAGAACCAAAATACAAAAATGATTCCTGTACATACAACATACACTACATCATAATACAACAACAATAGTGAAACAACAATGCTAAAATGACATGTGCAAATAAGATGCTTAAATTAAAATTGCATGTGCAAATTGACCAGGGTTGGAAGTTTTTATTCCCATTGCATTTGAACGTTGTTACTCTAAATCTACAGCCTGAGGGAAGAGGGTGCAGGGGGTGGTTTATACAGTCCGATATGGACCTGGCCTTCTGGAGAACCTGCTGATTAGATAGCCATCAGGAGGTTTTGTGGAACACGTGTCACCTTCCCAGCAAACTGAACAATGTGGTTCAGGTGGTTTTTTTTATCCCTTATGTTTAGGTTACCGTACGAAGCAATCACCGAAAAAGTAAGAACAGATTCAATAAAAGACTTATAAAACAACAATGACATCATTTTCCAGTCTACATTAAAAACATCTAACTCCCTAAGGATGTACAAACGTTGGTGGGCCTTCTTACAGCATCGGAATTTACATCAAATTTCAAGTTATTATCGATGACTGTTCTGAAAAGGTTTGGGAAACCCTGGAGGTACTTTGAGCGAGTACTTCCCTCAGAATAAATTGTTGTATTTACATTTCTGTTTTTGTATGGTTTAACCAATTACATTAGAAACATTAGATTTGTTTAAATTTGTGAGCTTTTATTGGTAGTAAGTGTATTTTTGAACTTCGTACAGAACCAGCTGGGTCCCCCTGCTTCCAGTCTTCATGCTAAGCTAGGCTATTACCTTCCAGCTCCATCTGTACTGAACACACACACAAATGAGTGCTGTATTGATCGTTTCATTCTCAGCATTTGACCCATCCTGAGTATTAGCAGCAGTGCCTTTGTCAAGTGACTGACTGGATGGTGGGGGAAACCGGAGCAGCCGGAGGAAACCCACACAGACTCAGGGAGAACATGCAAACTCCACACAGAACACAGAACTGAGAGTCTTGCTGTGAGGTGACAGTGCTGCCACCATGCTGCATCTAGTCCAAATAAGTGTATTCCCCAAGATGTTGGACTATTCCTTTCACTCCTATTAAGTATGCTAACATCTAGACATCTAGAATTGTATATTTGAACATACTAACATTTAGAAAAACTAGATCTATCCTGTCATGGTCTAGTATAGCACAAGTGGAAATTTAGACCTGTGCTTGATGTAAAGTCAGACCACCAGGCTTCATCCTCTGGGGACCATGGATGTCTGTATAGAATTTATGGCAACCATTATATACTTATTGAGACATTTCCCTCCAAAATTCGACCAACATCGCCATCCCTGGAGCCACGCAGAAGTTGCAGCCTCCCTTTTTAAATCAGTTCATTCATTTTGCTGTCATACAATATGTAAGTAATCAGAGGCAGAGGAAATAATGGACTCAGCAGAGGAAACATTACATTGCCTGGCATCCAATGTTCTTCTCCTCCACCTCGTCTTTTATGTCCTTAAATCAGGACACCATGGAGTTTATTATGGCTTAATGCCCCATCCACAGTGTGGATGTTTCTATAACTAAACAAGGAAGAATTTGTGTGTGTGCGTGCGTGTGTATGAGTGTGTGAGAGAGAGAGACAGTGTCGTGGCACCACACCTTTGCCACAAAGGAAATTTGGCAGAGACTCCAGACTTTGTGGCGAGAAAGAAAAGAGAGACAGAGAGAGAAAGAAGGAGGGAGGACATGGCAAGGGGGACATTTTTTCCTCACAACTCCTGATAATACACACACATACGCACTCGCACAATCACACACAAACACAAACAAACACGCACCCACATTCTGGACAAGAAACCAAGACACAATGGCATCATAATGGGTGTGTTTACTACTGTGTGTGTGTGTGTATGTGTGTGTGTTTATGTGTGGGAGAGGTCATGTTCACACACTGTTCTATTTTCGAATGCGCTGAAGGAGGGAAGTGTGTGTGATGATGGATGGGAGACACACACACATACACACCGTTAACACGGGTCGCTGCGGGAATCCCCCACCTCTATCACCGACTGACACACACACACACACACACACACACACACACACACACACACACATACAGGCAACACACACAGGCAACAAACACAAGGTTGCATAATGCACAAAAGAAACAAAAGACAAGCACAAACACATACAACCAAACTCACATCTTTTGAGTGACCTTTAACCTTCAATAATGGGACGTACCTTCATGAGCCTGCAGTAGCAGGAAAAAAAGACTCAAATCTTTTTTGTATCATTACATTTTTTGAAGTAAAACTGATCCAGACAACAACTATCCGTGTTAGTTCCGGTTCATTTATGCCATGGCAACTGAAAGCATAACTGGACACCTATGTCATTTATGTTTGTTTGTTAGTTTAAGCTTAGTTTAATGAGTTTGCTCTGCTCAACATTAGTACAGCCAGGGCAGATGAAAAGGGCATTCGTTTTGCAGGCATTTGGTCAAAAACCAAAGTATTGGACAAATTCAAATTTTGGCTTGATGATGGCACCAAAGCAATTACAAATTGTCCTGAGGGGTACATGAATGTCTAAACC